CCTCAAGATCATTGAACCAATCTGGGGCGAACTCAAACGTTCAGTTCATGCCAGACAACCAAAAGAGCTTACAAGAGTTGGAGGCTTTTTGCCAAGAAGAATGTTCTGCTGTACAAACAGAGATGATAAAGAACCTCATCGACAACTACCTCAAGAGACTTCAGGCTGTCATTGATGTTAAAAGGGGAATATAAACTTTAACACAAAAATATAAAAAATGTAAAAATACAAACTGTGTTATGTAAACTTTTGATTAGGATCATTTGGAAAGTTTCTGTTGTCATAATGATTTAAAAAAGTAAACCACGGTTGTTATGTTAAATAAATGGCTTCTCTGACTAACCCTGAGTGGGAAAATTCTTTTGTGTTGTCAGTCAGATTTTCTTAAAATTTGGCTAAAAAAACCTTTGAGCACAGCTGTATATATTTATTTATATTAACACTTTAAAAAAAAAAAAAAAAAAACAATGTTCTGTTGGTTTTAAGTGACAAGATAATTACAGTGTCATTTTTTGTTTAATAGGCCATGAGTGCTCTAGAGGATAAGTCAAGAGCAGAAAGAGCTTTAAACAATCTTCAGAGAACCCAAGACGATCACCAGGTATGTGATGAGCAGTAACTCTTATTAAAAAATTTAGTTTTAAGGATTTTTAGCATGGTGGTGGTTTGGTAGTTTCCTTCTCATCTACAGAACGATGGTCACACTCTAACTTCTGGATCAAGCTTAGACAAGCTTGCAGCCATGTGAAAAAAATATGTCACCCAAATTATGCTGCTCAGGGTGTGTGCATTATTTAAAAGAACACATTATTTAATATGTAAATAACCCTAACCACTAACTTTTTCAAAGTTTTCAAAAAAAAAAACCACAATGCCACCAAAAGTTCTTGGAACAGTGTAGAAGTAGGAAAGTAGGAAAGGTTCACGTGTTTGACAATTTTCTCGTCTGTCACGTCTCTTTGGCGATTTTTTTTTTTTTTTTTTTTTTTTTTTTTTTTTTTTTTTTTTTTTTTTTTTTTTTTTTTAACTCAACATTTTTTATTATAAAATACAAAAACTGTTCATTCTCAGATTTTGCATAGAATTGTTTTGTACAATTTTAGCTTTGTTGTTTAATGTATTTTAAAAATACTTGTAAAAAAAGTAGGTGGGTTTGTATTTCCACAAAAAAATTGTAAAGTAGTAAAGGGTTAGAAGAATTTTTTTTCGTCTCTTAGTCCAGTCAGTCAGGAATATTACCAATGAGCTCAGTTACCTTGTTGAGGGCTGTAACAATATTGTTGAAATCTAGTGCTCATATGCTAAATGACCGCGGAATACAGTTTACAAGATGAGAACCGAAGTTCATTCTTCAGGATTTAGAGCCAATACAAACTTTTGGTGATTGATTTTTCATATTTTTAGGACACGTGCACCAATTTCTGTTGAAAGACCTTAAAATGTACATTTTTAGTGTAGCTTCCCTTTAAGTAAACTATCAGGAATATTTAAATGACTTTTACTTTTCTTTCTGTAGTCTGTTTCCTGCGCTGATGACATAACAAGCCTGGAAAGCACCGTTGCAGCAATGCAGGCAGACTTTGAAAAGACCCTGAATGCCAACATTGCTTCCAAGAAAGAGCTGCAGGAAAGTCTGGTGTCTGCTAAGCATGACCTGCTTCATGTCCAAGAACAACTTTCACTTGCTGAGAAGGTACGTTGGCACCTCCGCACAAAGCCTTGCTCACACTTGCTCATCAGAATTCTAGCTGTTTTCAAATGGTTTGGCGTAAAGCAAAATATGTGTATATTTATACATGTTGTCTTTTTTATTATTTATAACATATGGGAATAATAATTTCTTAATAAATTATATAAATATAATTATTTATGCTGTCACCAAGAAAAAATTAATATTTTAAACCATTTGTTGCCAAAATGAAGAAACCCAATATAGCAGTGATCACCAAATGGGGTCCTGCAGGCCAGATCCAGTCCCCCAAGAGGTTCTGACTGGCCCCTCACATGGGCTATACTGTAGACTGCTGTACTTGGCATATTATTTCAAGTAAAAATTCTGGTACGGTCCACACAGAATCAACACAGCTGAGTGTGCGGCACGCACATTCTCTATACGAGACATTTCTCTTAATTTTACAGTGACATTGACATCTGTCAACAAAACATCTTGACGAAAAATCTTTCTTTTCTTTGACTAATGTTCATTGGTTAAGGAATAGAAATAAAAAAAAGTTTTGCTATGTGTTGTTTTAAATGTCTTTGTTTGAAATGTGTTTAATAGAGGCGGTTGTTATTTGTTCTCGCTGGGGATCATTTTCAATTGATGGTGTAACAAAAAGCTGAAATGCTGATTTTATGTCTTGAACATGACTGATAGACCATCTGTTGAGCCCTGGAACAATTTTGATGGCATTAACAGCACTAAGTCTACCCTGTCATTCAAGTGATGAGTAGGACTATGATAATGTTTCATTTTTGGAAGATAATGTTTCTGCTAGTGGTTGAGAGACAACAGGAGGGCCTCATAATCAGGGTCCTCCTCAAGATTATCTTCTGACCCCAAGGAAAACCGATGTGTACAGCCCATAGAAAAAATGAAATCATGCTAATTTTATGTTTACCAAGTTCTCCCCATTAAATTGGGAAAAAATATTCAATCCGCAAAAAAAATCTACATGTTACTCACTGAATAGGGTCATATTAACCCTAGAATAATAGGAGGGTGAAAACACTAAATTAGTGGGAGACAAGAGCTGACTGCTGCAACAGCACAATTTCCTCAGACTTTGAGCAATAACATACTTGCAGCTCGAGACACCATTTAGAATTTTAAAACATGTTTATTCTGTTATAAATTACAATTGTTTCTGTAACATTCAGAAAGTACAGAAACAGATTTACAATATTTTTGCAAACATGTGTCTGGAAGGCTCTCTTTGCTGTAGTATTTAATATACCAAGATAAAACGTCACTTATGTTCTCTACAGAGACGTGTTGACATTTTTAAGAGAAAATCCAGCAATGGTTGAAAAGACTTTTTTTCTGGCTCCTAAACTCTGCCAGGTTTAAAAAAAAAAAGAAAAAAAATAAGGCTATAACATGTGTTATGCTTTTTATCAAGTTTGCATTTGTAAAATTTTTCTGAGAAATGGCCAGAAGAGGGCACTGTATGCTAACAGATTGAACTCTAAAATTAAATTTACTTGGTATGGATAAAAAAATAATACAGAGCTTTTATTTAATTGCATGAGATAAAAAAAAAATAACATCCTAAATGCAATCATCAAGGTTCACATGGGGATATCAAGTTATAATAATAAAAAAAGTTTTTTTTTATGTGTAAATAGGGTTGCGAAATTTCTGGATTTTCAAACCTGGAAACTTTCCATGGGAATCAACAGGAATATACGGGAATTAATGGGAATAAACTGTGAGTTTACGAAATTCAAGGTTGGCGAATAACAGGGAACTTAACAGTAATTGAATAAAATGTATCATAATACATAATTTTTTGTTGCACTGGGTGATCAGCTATAAATCAGAACTGGGGAGTTTTTGCTACGAGTGATCGTTTTTTTTATTGTTTTTCTTCCTGTAAGTGCATCCGCAAGCACAGACCACAAGATAATTTTCCTTCATGTCATTTTTACGTTTAAAAGCTTGTTGGCACGTTCGTTGACGATGTGTAACTCCCATGTGGCATGAGGCTCAAATACTAAACAGTTTTGTTATCATACTGATTAAAAACACATTTTTTAAATCTCCTACAATCTCTGCATCAGAAAATAGTTTTACTTTAAATTCTAAAGTAGTTCTTTGATGCAAAGCACATCAGCGATCTGTAAAGTCTGCTGACTTTTAATCAGGGTGTTATTACTTATGAATATTTAAAAACGTTTATGTTTTAAATGCATCCCGTTCCTTTATAGTGTTTCTTCATTAATGAACACAGATGCTTTCAAACATTGATAAATTAAAATTACTACAAAGATTATTTTGATTTGTAATAATACTGTTTACATTTTTTTTTTATAAATGCAGGCTTTGATAAATCTGATAAAGGCAGGCTTGAATGATGAGGTTAACATAAGAGACTTTTCAAAAACTGCAAACGTTTGCGTCACGCATTACACACATGGTTCCTGCAGTTACAGGTTATGGTTTGTTATTCGATGACACTGATTAATGAGTAATAAGTGTAAACTATATGAAAAATGGTAAGATTATGGCGAAAATAAGTTTTTTTTTTCACATGACGACAAATATCCAACATCTTTTATTAGTCAATTTACAAACGTCAGTGTTTGAGGTCGAGATGTGAAGATAACAATGAGCAAACTGAACAATCTCAAGTAATAGTTGCATTTAATGTGATGTGTACAAAGGATTATACAATTATTAGTCGATTGGAATTATTAGCAGATTGGATTATTGATTATTAATAGATGGAATCTAAAACATGTAACTTGAGAACCCTGTTAAACTGAAGGATGAAATACTAACATCCACGCTAATTAATAATTAAAATTTATGATAATTTGTCGTCCTGGCACATACAAAGTAAAATGGTCATAGGTGAGAACATAATTAATAAGTACTTTTTGAGGAATATTAGACAAAATAACAGAAAAATGATGCAAATATAGCAAGATTTATCGTTTGTAATAAAAAAAGTAAAAAAAAAAAAACCCTCTGAAGCACTGATTTAAATTCATTTTCTGTACTAGCTTGAAAGTGTTCTATGTGTAGGTCTTCTGATCAATCCACTTTGTACCAAACTGCTTGATGTTTACTCCCAATGTAAGTCGCTTTAAATAAATGCCTCTGCTAAATACATATAAATGTAAATGTCATTGTTTTTAGTCTTGGTCACTGCCATTCATGGTCTTGGTCTATGCTTAGCATGCCTTGGTCTTGGTCTTACATTTTCGCATTTGGCAAATGCTTTTGTCCAAAGAGACTTACATTTTGAATAAATGAACACATATTTGTCAGTTCTTGTTTTCCCTGGGATTCGAACCCACGACCTCTGCATTGTTGGGTCAGTGCTCTACCAACTGAGCCACAGGAAAGCTTGGTACCCTCTGGTCTCGGACTCCACTGGTCTTGACTATAACACCACTGTCAGCTTTGGCTGTGGCTATTTCGTCCATCATTTTACGCGTTATATCTCTATATGCTGTACATACCTGTTATTAATTTTCTTGTGTAGTTATTTCACTAGTGTGTGATGTGTTTTTAAGGAATTGGAAAAGAAATTTCAGCAGACCGCTGCATACCGCAACATGAAGGAGATTCTGACTAAAAAGAATGAACAGATTAAAGACCTGAGAAAGAGACTACTTAGGTGTGTATGATGATCACATGACGCGTTTTAATCATTTAAAAATGGTTTTAATTGCATTTGTCTTCCTCTCAGGTATGAAACAGATGAGTGAATGCTAATCTCCGTGCTGCACATGAAGAAGTCTTCAGACAAACATATAAGACTTGAAGTTATGTTTCTCTTCTAAAAATGTATATGGTAAAATATCTCACACATTTCTCATGCCAGCAATCGTTCTCCTTAAAGAAGAAATCTTCAGAAATGACATTTGTCTGTACTGCATACCGCAATCGATTCCTCCCAACACTACAAACTCATTATTAAAACACAAGTGAAGGAATCCGTGGATAAATGAGTTTCCTACAAATACAACGCGACTCACACGCTGATAATATTTTGGTTTAGGAGGATTCATTTACACTTTCTGAGTTTAGGCTTTCATTAAACTACTGCAATGGAACTGGTTTTCAAATAAAATGGGAATTTATGCACGCACTTCTACAAAAATGGCAGTAACTCATGTGCCGTGCGAAAAGAACTGTGCAGTAGCAGAAAGATTCAAGATCAGAAAACTCACCGTTAAAACCATAGATATCTATATGTAGATACCTCGTGAAGTGGAACCGTCCGTTGGTGGCCGCCATCGTAGAACGTCTACATACTGCTCTGGTCAATGTAGTTTTGATTATTTAATTTATTTTATTAATTGACTATACATTTACATAAACGTAACACAAGCAATTTAGTAAACAGTGATCAACAATATGAAATGAAGAGTATATAGATAAATAGATAAACAAAAATACTAACAATATAATAAAGAAATTTACACGATACAATAACCAATCTTCCCTTTTTTATTGATCAACACCCAGTACAATAGCAATCAGCTGAACAAGGGAAAGATTGAAAAAAAAAATAACATTAACATAAATTGACTCAGGTCATTCCATTAAGATCAACGTTCTTTAGAAATTTGAACGTCCTTTTTTTAACTCAAGGAAGAATTAATTAAATCTACATATGGTTTCAGCTCCAATGTAAACCCGGGGAAGGATGTGACTTAGACTTGCGTATAAGAGAAACAAGAGATTAATTACATCCATTTCATTTTTAGTAAGGTCATGAAACCCAAATAACACAGTTTTATAAGTAAACTTTCACAAACCGCTTAGTAAAATCTAGAAAATCACACCAGAAAACATCTGTGTATCAATTCCAAAGATGTTTTAGGTTGGTCAGAGCAAAAAGAGCATTTGGTGTCTATATCAAGTGTTTTTAAAGAGCACTTGTCAGAGTAGAAGGAAGGGAACGGATACTTCCTGTCCCGTAGCAAGATGGCGCCATGACGACGTATGTGACAGGCCGTTATCTACAAATACATGTCTATGGTTACAACTAGTTAAAAAGCAGTTAAAATGGCTCAATGGTAATGGTAACTGAAAGCTGGAAGTGGAACTGGCTGATCTTAAATCGTCAGTGTCAAAAAGAAGTTTAATGCCAAGTGTGCAAGTGCACACAAACAATGAATTTGTTGTGGTACAAAGGATGCGCTCCAGTTAAATGACAGACAAAAGACAAGATGTTGGAGAGAGTTCGACCGCGGCTGCCATCTTTGGCTGCTATACATTGGAAAAGGTAGCTCAAAAAAGTTCCCCCCTTCGCCCTTTCCTTCGCAGAGAGGGGCAAGATCTGTAAATTTGCACAGATATTTCCTGTCCATCACCGGTCTCCATTTTATTCAACCGTTGCGTAGCTCTCAGTCTTTCCCCAATGATATCCAGTTTGTGGTCACAAACCACAAAGTGAGTCCCGACAGATTTATTTCCAGTCAATGTTTCATTCCAGCCGGTCAGTTTAGTGGGGTTTTGGGCACTGACCGCCATTGATGATAGCCGAGAGTCCCACATTTTCAGAGGAATCCCAGTCATCACAGCTTCAAATAGGTAAATGTCTTTGACGTCCTCCAGGGATAGAGCAGCCAGGCTCCACTTCATTCACCCAGGCGTCCATAATGTAGCCAGCTGCAACAGTTTCCACAGGGCAGGTGGGCTTCACTCAATCCACTCTTCTTGACGAGAAAATGGTGTTAATTACATTTAGAGACCAATTGATCAGATCCATCGTTCCTTTTATTCGGAGAGCAGGGCGGAGAGAGTCTCTCACAGACAGAACAGAGATTGTCAGCAGGAAAGAGATAAGGGAGAGGAAAAAGATGCGACTGCCTCCGTCAAGAGCCAAAGAAGTGCCATCTTGAAGAGTGAGTGCATGATGTAGTCCAATAAAATTGTTCTAAATCTTATCAACTGTTTTAGCCATTGAAACGCAGGTAGATTTTGGTTCTCTACCCTTATATCAGTTTAGATTTTCACGCTCTAGATTCAGTTTCAAAAGATAAACTCATTTTTCATTGGAAAACGGGTGACTTCCAGGTGTTTAGTTTCATGAATGGCCAGGATGCCTTTGAGATCCCATCAATTAGGTTCACAATTGTGGGGATGTGACTCGGATGATTGAGAAAAACAGTGGAGGCATCGGTTACATCTGCTCATGTGAATCGTTTAATCTTTGTTTTAGAGCTTTTACTTGAATTATGCATCATTTCTGTCATATTAAAAAATAACATTTAAAGCCTCGTTTGACTTGTATTTATATTGGAGAGATCTTAGGAGCCCTTGGTAGAGAGGCTGAGCTAGTTGCATCATCGAAAAACATTTGTGGTGGTGGATGGTTAATATTGGCTCAAAATTAGGAGTGTTACAATATACAGTACTTATGCCCCCACTACGTTATGAATCACAATATCTGTCAAAAATTTGGAAAAATAACTGAAATAAAACCCTAGCACACATATTTTACTGAAAGGTTTACACTGTCAACCGCAAAGCTGACAGCACCAGAGTCTAGTTTGATGTGTATCATCCAAGCCTCGACAATGTTTGTAAATTCAGAGAATTAAACACTGAAGAGGAAGATGTCGCTCATTCTGAGAGCTGTTTTCACGGATAATTTTATGAAGTTTCTCATAAGTTTAGCTGTTTCTCACATTTTTTTTAATATTTCTGAGTAGCTCCACGTCATTTGTGTTTTACAATATATTGGGCCACTATATATTGTTACACCACAACACAAAATACAATAAAACCTCATATCCTGGACAAAATAAAATACACAAAAAATTGTATTTTTATTATTTTATATAGGTATTCCTATATGTTTATAAGTGTTGTGATATCAATGTTATTTTGGCTGCTTGACATCAGCATATTATGGCAGCAGATAATTTTTTAAAACATTTTTTTTTAGATGTACTGTGTTGTGCAGTGGGAAAGAGCCATAAGATCTACGAAATGGTTCATGGAACGAAACGGCAACTCGCAACCAAGCACTAGCGATAATGATTTGAAAGCTGCGCGAAGTTACGTGTGCCAGACTGAAGCGCAAGAATGGAATTCTCAAAAGCGGGCGGAGCCGCAAAATGACGCAGCCGCAAAAGGTGTGTTCACTTACACATAAGTGTGTAAAGGCTGCTTGTAACCAGTAGTCAATTTGCTAAAAAAAAAAAAGAAAGAAAAAAAATGATATAAATACACCGCTAACTATCACAGCACTTATGGCGTTTTTTTTTTCTCCCCCCTTCTGCACGCCCTGGTACAGCCCGGTTCAGTTCAGCTTGCTTGCTTTTCATAGGCTTTAGTGTCTTGTCAAGGGGGTGTGTTGTAATAGTCATCGTCAAAGTATTTCGGCATCACGCCTAACGTAAAGTAATGAAGAATGCAACGTGAAATCAGTAGTTATCCGAAATATAACAATGGACCCCGAACGCGCAAAGCAGTGTTCCGTTTGCTTCTTAGATTATGGGTGTTTTCTACAGTTTTCCACAACAAGTTATTTGGTGAAAATCATGAGCGGCTAAAATTAGGTACGCACTGTGTTCGAACAAATTCTGTATTTGAGTAAGTAGTTAGCGCGCCAATCAGCGCTCATGTACGTCATGCCAATCGAGAGAATGGTGTCCGTTCAGAGTTCCAGAAATGGAGCTGAACTGAACTGTACCATGTTTTTTGCGGTGGAAAAGCTTGTTGTGGTTGGCTTTTATTTCAGACAACTTTTTAATCCCATCGATTGAATCCAAATTGCGGTCCGGTGAAAATCTGTCCTTAAACATCAATGAAGTTCATGCTAAACTTCATGGCCACAGTTGTGAAGAAACATCGGCAAAGCAGAGATGTATCTTCTTAAAGCAGAGTCGCTGGGATCCTACTGGTCACACGGAGAAGCATCTTGGAGTGTGAGAGATCTAAACACTGGCTGGCCAAGCCGAGAAGTACTTTCACGGATAAGATTCATACCTAATTTGTGAGGAAGCAATGGGTTGATTCTTTAAAAAACTGGTTCATCAATAACACACTTGTATCAGCTCAATGTGACGTCAATGTCATCTGTGGCTAGATTTCAGTGACCCTAATCCTTTCAGAACATTTTTTTTTGCTTCTAAGTAGTTTCCCACCAATTAGAGCCTATTGTCCATTCATTTGGACATTTGTCATCGAATCAAAAAGACTTGATTTGGCGCAATCTGAAGAATTTTCACTACTTGCTCTCAAGACAAGCAGAACAGCAACTCATGCAAAGTGGAGAAGTAAGCAAGATTTTCAGTAGTTTTATTCACATTAAATGATTCATTTTGCACTTTAAGATTGTTTGCAAAATAGAGAGATGGAAGTTTGTAAACGTAATTTAAAATT